TCTGTGTCGCGCCCGTACTGGGCCGGGACCGGCAACGGGATCGCAACCCTCGGTGTTGCGCCCACACCTCGCTCAGCCAGTGAGTGGGAACCGGTCTGTATGTGGGATCCGAACCCTCGGCAGGAGTGCCACCGTGCTCCCAAGCGGCGCACTGTAGCAGTGCGCCACCGGGCCGGCCCAGATTCCACCTTAATGGAAAAGAAAACAAAGTACACTGGGGAAAAAGGATAAACTAAATTGAAAGCAAGGAGAGAAGGAAGAAAATAATAAAGATTAGAGATAAATGAAATAGACAATAGCAAAATAATAAAGAAATTCAACAGTTTTTTTTTTTTTTGGCTGTCTGCTATAAGAACAACCACCACTCTCAGCAATTAGACTGTTGACATTCCAGAAAATGTTGACATCACTCTGAAAGGATGCATAATTATTATGAAGGGCCCCAGAGAAACCCTGTGGAGCAACTTAAATCACATCAATGTAGAACTCAGTCTCCTTGGAAAGAAAAAGAAGAGGCTCCAGGCTGACTTATGGTGGGGAAGTAAAAAGGAACTGGCCACTGTTCATACTATCTGTAGTCCACTACCTGTAGTCACGTATAGAACATGATCAAGGGTGTTATGCTGGGCTTCCACTACAAGATGAAGTCTGGGTATGCTCACTTCCCCATCAACATCATTCAGGAGAATGGGGCTCTTGTTGAAATCTGAAGTTTTTTGGGTAAAAAAATATATCCACAGGGGTTGGATGAGGACAGGTGTTGCTTATTAGTATCTCAAGCCCAGAAAGATGAGTAAAATCTCGAAGGAAACAACATAGAAATAGTTTCAAATCCAGCTGCTTTAATTCAGCAAACCACAACAGTTAAAAACAGGGATATCAGAAATTTGGGGGACTGTATCTGTGTCTCTGAAAAAGGAACAGTTCAGCAGGCTGATGAGTAAGATCTAAGAGTTTTCCAGCTACAGAAACAAGATGCTAGTTGATTCCTAAGACCTATTTGTGATGTTTTAATTATGCAATAAAAGACCTCTATTGAAAAAAAAAATAAAGAAACTCAATAAACCATGGGTCACTTTTTCAGAAAGATCAACAAAATTGACAAACCTTTAGCTACACTGAAAAGAAAAAAAGAAGACTCAGAGTGCTAAAATCAGGAAAAAGGGGAAATTACTACTGACTTGAGAAAAATAAAAGGATTATAAGAGAATACTAAAACTCTATGACAACAAATAGGATAACTTCAGATGAAATGCCAAACTCTAGAAAGGCAACTGACAAAGAAACAGAATATTTGAATAGACTTATAACATGTAAAGAAGTTGAATTAGTAATCAAAACTACCTACAGAAAACAAAGCCCCAGATCCAGATAGCTTCATTGGTGAATTCTAATAAACATTTAAAGAACAAATACCAATTCTTCACAAACCCTTCCAAAAAAACAGAAAAGGAGGGAACATTTCCCAATTTAGTCTATGAGGCTAGTATTATTACTCTGATACCAAAATCCTACAAACACATCACAAGAAAAGAAAACTGCAGATCAATATCCCTCATGCCTATAGATGCAAAAACCCTCAAAATACATTTGACCCATAAACAACTCTGGGGTTACAGGCTACTGTGTTCCCCAAGTCCTGCAGGAGTGTGTGTGTATCTTTAATTAATATAGTAAAGTACAATAAGTTTAATTAATATAGTAAAGTACAATTACTGCTTAAATATAACAGTTAAATACTTACCTACTAATAGCCTACTGGTAGGCTGCGTCACTGTTTGGTTAAGTAGTAGGCTACTTAACCATTTGGTTGCATGCATTCATGACATACCTAACCAAAAATATTTTATTTATTGAAAAAAATCCACATATAAGTGGACCCATGCAGTTCAACCCTGTGTTGTTCAAGGATTTGCTGTATTAGCAAATCAAATCCAGCAACATATAAAAAGAATTATATTCTATGACCAAGTGGGATTTATCCTAGGAATAAAAGGTTGGTTCAACATCTAAAAATCAGCTAAGGAATATGACAGGTCTACTAAGTAAAGAACAAAATCCACTTGCTCATCTCAATAGACACAGGAAAGGCATTTGTCAAAATGCAATACCTCTTCATGATAAATGGAAATTTACTGAAAGAATGAGCAATTTAAACAGAGTAAACTAACTGAAAAACCACAGTTATTATCTGCTTCTGTATTCAATCTGTTATGCTATCTATATTGTCTTGAAGTATATTAGGAAAATCTGGCTTCACACAGATGTATGTTTGGAAAAGGGAGGAATATTTTATTAGCCTCTCCAGATAATTATGAATAACTTTCTTTACAAGTGATAGTGTCTTAAAGGTTAGTTAAAATGTAGAATGTGAATCCACATCAGTGAGCTTTTCGTGTTCTGTCATATGAAAATTCATTGGCCTAACTTGTACTTTGAATAGATTTTGTAACATCATGCACCAATAATCTGAAAATAATGTTTCATTGAATTGTGCAAATTTTCCATGTGTTGACACATTTAATTATACAAAATCCATTTGTTTCTAAAATTTTCTCTGTAGAAAGTGCTCAAGGGGGCTGGCCAGTTAGCTCAGTTGGTTAGAGCATGGTGCTGATAACACCAAGGTCCCAGGGTCAAACTCTCTACTGGTCAGTACCTAAAAAAGAAAACTCTCAAGAATTGAGGAGACTTCAAGTTTAGTGATTTGAGTTTGGATGTGTGTCCCCTCCAAAACTCATGTGGAAATTTGATCCCCAATGTGGCAGTGTTGGAAGCTGTTTGAGTCACAGGGACAGATCCCTCATGAATGGATTAATGCTCTCTCTAGGGGAGAGGGGATTAATGAGTGAGTTCTCGCTCTATTAGTTCCTGCAAGAGCTGGTTGGTTAAAAAGATCCTGGCACCTCCTCTCTCTCTTTCTTGCTTCCTCTTGCCATGTGATCTGCTTGTACCCATTGCTGGCTGTTGGTTGCTTTCTGCCATGAGTAGAAGCAGCCTGAGGCCCATGCCAGATGCAGCTGTCCCAGAATTGTAAGCCAAATAAACCTCTGTTTTTTTATAAATTTCCCAGTCTCAGGTATTTCTGTTATAGCAACACAAAATGGACTAATACAGGTAGATACAAGTTTTCCAAAACTTTTAATTTTTATTTGAAAGCTTGAATTCTATCAATAACAACAAATACTGTCAGTTGTTTTCCTTGACGGGAAAGGACAGGCTGACTTTGTTCATTTTCAAGAAAATGTCTGTCAGATACCCAAATCTGATTTACTATAGTTTGTCTCTCAGTCGTCTTTTCAAGTAAAAATGCTACTCTATGAAAAAAGGCAGCTAGTTAAAAATACATGTACTCAATGGTTGAGATTTAATATAATTAATGTTCACAATTTCATTGAAAATTTTAAGTGAAACTGGCTTTTTTCCCCTTTCCTTTTTTAATGCAAGTGCATGGCAGTGAAGAATAACAACTACTAACCAGTTGGTGCCACTGCCTTTGATTTGTGCTAAGACCCCAAAAGTTTTATTTACCATTGATTTTTGCACCATCAGGGTACAGTTCAGCAGTAAAAAAGCAAATAACAGTATAAAGACCAGTATTAACATATGGTCGTTGACTTTGCATACTCTGATAGTCTCAGGGACCTCCAGAGGGCCATGGATCATACTTTGAGGACTGCTGTGATAGGTATTAGGATAAACTCAGAATATAAAAACAAACCATAATCCCTGTTCTCAAGTTCATCTTCATAGCTTTAGTGATTCAAGTAAGAAGACTATGTAGGACATTGTTGTAGCAAAGCATGCAAGATATGGTGAGGGCCTTACCTAAGGCAATGGCAATAGGAGTGGAGAAACTTTTACGGTGGTGGAGGTGGTGGAATTACAGGATCTGGTGACTGATTAGATGTGAGGCATAAAAGAGGACAACAAAGCGCATAGTGGTGCCCTTTCTATACAGGCATTACAGGAGAGGCAGGTTGGCAGAGGGGTGGGAAGAGATAATGAGTTTAGTTTAGGATTTATTGACTCTAAGATGGCTAGATCTCTAGGGAGAGGTGTCTGGCAGGCAAATGGATATTCCTACTCATTCCTCGAGGGCCTTGCTGTTTTTTTTTTTGTCTCATTCACAGCTGTATTCCCAGGCTTAGCCCAACACCTAGCTCTTAAATAAATGAATCTGGAAGGAGGGTTAAATTTGGTAACCATCTGATAGGAGACGCTTATTTGAAGCCACAGGAGTGAATAAGATCAGGCTGATAATGGCTGTAGGACTGAACACCCACTTCGAAATTTTTCTGGCTGCTAAACCCTCAGACTAAGTGGCGTTCTTGGGGAATGTGGCCTCACATAGCTCACGACGTCCTATAACCGCTACATTTATTTTGGAAAACCTGTTTAACCCAACATACCTTGTAACCAACATTTACTAACTTTATGGTCGTAATTAATAGCTGTTAACTGGGGTGAGATGGGGCTGAGCTCCTTGTCCCACCCTTTAGTGCGTGGTCGGCGTTTCGCACGACCTCTTCTCACGGCTCGGAGCACGGACGGCTTATTTTGGGATGTATCCCGAAGTTCCCAGGACGTGACTTCTAAACATGCTCAGGTGCAGCCAGTCGGCGCCCAGGCAGGAGGCGGCGCTCACGCCACCCGTCGCGCTGACGCTACATAGGCCGACATCACCTCAGGCGAGCACGGTGCAATCACAGAGCGCTCCGCACTGGCAGCTGCCGGTCTGTCCGCCGCAAGCCTCGCCCTGAAATCCTTCCGCCCGGCACTCCGACACCGTGTCCTGGCGCCGCATCCCAGCCACACAGGATCGGTGGCCCGCGATTCTCAGGGGATGATCGCCTCTTAAGGCATGCTCTTTCTCGTCCCTGTACCACTTGTGCCACAAACGCAGCCCTCTTTCTTAGGTCCTTTTTACGGCGTAAGGAGACCTTGGTGAGGTGATATGCTATTGAAGGCGTGGCCAGCGGCAGGCCCCGCCCCATCCTGTGACGTACAGGGTGGCGCGCGGCGAAGCCGGGGGTGGGGCTGGGACTGGGGTTAGCAAGAGACCTGGGGGCCGGGGCCGCTTCTGGATTCCCATCTGCTATCCTCTCTCGCTCCGTCGATTCGGAGGGGAGGTGGCGACCTCGGCCTCCAGTGTCTCCAGCGGAGTGAAGTGGCAGCGGCGGCCGGGATGGTGTTGCTGGGTTTACTGCAGGCGGGCGGGTCGGTGCTGGGGCAGGCGATGGAGCAGGTGACAGGCGGCAACCTCCTGTCCAAACTGCTGATCGCCTGCGCCTTCACCCTCAGCTTGGTCTACCTGCTCCGACTCGCCCTCAGCCACCTGGTCCAGCTGCCTGCCGGGGCGGTACGTGCACTCCCGGGGTCCGGGCGTGGACGCGGCGGCCAAGGTGGCGGAAGGGCCAGCGTGGGTGGTGTCTGCAGCAATGACCTGCTGTATGGCCGGGCTGGCGGGCTCGGGAGGCGGCCGCGTCCCGGGTCCTGGCGCCGACGGTCGTTACCGTGGCGGTGCTTGGTGTAGGCGTGGTGGCGGACGAGTTGGCCAGGGTGGTGGCCGCGGCGGCGGCACTGCTGCTGGTGGCACTGGCGGTCGCGATCACCGCTGCCTTGCTGGCCTCGGTGCTCGGGGCTGCGCTGGGCGCCGCGATTCTGGAATTGGTCGTGGCCGCATGCCTGGTCCTGGCCGGGGTCGTGTTTGCCGCGTTTGTGGTCGTAGTGATGGCTGAGCTGGCCGCGGCACTGGTGGGCCCTAGTAGCTTGCCTGAGCGCCCTGGTGGCTGTGCTAGCCGCCGTCGTGTTTTGGGGGCCCTTGATTGGGGCCCTGACGGGATGCTATTGGCAGGTGCGGCCCTGGTGTTGGTTATCCTGGTGGCTGCCTTTCTGTGATTCAGTGTCCTATGGGCTGTAGCATTGCCTCTAATGGCGATTTGTATCAGGATTAAAGGGAGTGTATGTTCAGTTTGGTAGAGTGGGAGTGACTGGACTTTGATAAGGGCCTTCCTGTGATGCCAATAAAATATCAGTCTTTACTGACTACTAGCTTTAAACTTCCTAAATATGTTTGGCGAATGCACCCTTAACAGTTAACACTAAGTAGTTTCTGAAAATTACCCTTTTATTGACAACGGAAGGTACAAACTATTGGCCAAGTAGCTTTTGAATGATTTTTGTTTGAACCATAACAGGCATGATGACAGTTATTATTTTTCCTATACATGGGATTTTTGAAGAAGTGGTATTTGGTTTTGAAAAGACAAAGGTACCTTTTAGTGTTTAAAGATTGTTTACTATCTGAGGAGTACTGTGAGGTTGTGTTCTTTTCTATTTGAGACCATCAAAGATCTGAGGAGTTTCATCCTTTTTCATCATCGCAAGTTTGATTTACAGGAGACTTACTGTTGTAGTCTGCAGGTCTCAGATTGTGACATCTAAAAGTGCCTTTTATGAGTGCTAGAGAGTTCCTGCTAGAGCTGATCTACTCTCTCTTTAGTTAAAAGCGAAAGATTTATATAATCTGAAGAGAGACCAGGATATTCTCTTTAGAATGAGTGGATCTAGTTCATTTCAGTGAAAGAAGCATGAGATGTGTTCTGTTTATTGATAAATGTAGTTTCTTAAACATTTCCCTTCTTTCTGTATCTCAAGTTACTATTTGTCTTTTTCTGTACCTTCTTTAGGCAAGATCCTGGGACTAAAATTGTGAGTGGTGGTAGAAGTGGTGAAGAAACTATAGTTTGACTTTTCTGTTTTTTTGCTACTAACGGTTAGAAAAGTTGCCTGGAGACAGCAATAAGTATTGGACATATTCTGGACAGTGTCCATCATTTATAATTTCAGTGCCTTTGTCTTTGTATAGTCCTTTATCTTGCACCATGTTTTGAGTTCCTGTTCTTTTTACTGTAGCTACTCTCCTATTTGCAATTGGCTGTTCTTAAGTTATTTTTGATACTTCATTTTTGGTAACTTTTTTAGTAGTAATGCAAATTTCATTTAATTGTTTGGTCATGAGACTAAACTGGATTTCTCTCTTAAAATGAGAACTGAATTTTTTTTTTCCTTGCAGAAAAGTCCACCGTATATTTTCTCTCCAATTCCATTTCTTGGACATGCCATAGCATTTGGGAAAAGTCCAATTGAATTTCTGGAAAATGCATATGAGAAGGTAAGCCTTCCAAATAATTAGAAGAAAAACTGAATAAGTGCTTTTTAAACTTTCTTTTAAATGGCAGAACATTGAAAAAAAAATTGTAATCTTATGCTTATCCTCCACATAGGAAATATAAAATATATAAAATTGAAGGTGTTCATTTTAAGAGATGGAAGGGCCTTGGAGACATCTACCCTTTTAGTGTCTCCCATGTCTCTGAGATACCACTGGGAAACCTGTAGTTCTGGCAACTATGGTTTAAAAACCACTGTTCGGGCCGGCCCGGTGGCGCACTGGATAGTGCGCCGCTTGGGAAGCGCGGCGGCACTCCCGTCCGAGGGTTCGGATCCCGCGCACAGACCGGCTCCCCCC